CCTTTGTTCGAGGTTTATTCTGCTCTACATGGGATGAAGCATGCCTGGTTAATTGTAAAATTGCCTAACTGGAAACTTCGACAGTCATTGGTGACATTCCTTACCTAGAATATTGCTTTTGAATTAGTAATGTACGTAGATACCACTAAACGATCGGGAGGGAAAGGGCAAAGGGCAGCCACAAAGGCACTCGCATCAGACAGCATATCCTTAAGTTCCTGCCCATCCTCATATGACCTCAACAAAATACCAAACTACACCTGCTGTTCGCAAGTCAACTACTTGTCTAACGTTTTTCGGCTGTGGGGGTGGGCGGGCTCAATTCGAAGTTGATTCATTCCTCAAGGCAAATATGGTTTAAATATCTTTATTTTCGAGCTACTCAAACATGGTCCCTCATAAGTTTGAAGCCTATCACCTTATCACTGTGCTACCGCGCCTCAGACTAGTATGCATTAAAAAATTCCGCAGTGACCTACAGTGACTACAACATGAAAATATACACCAACAGAAAATAAGTCAGCTATATTCTTTCTGCATGTATTGAACTATAATAAGAGCGCTAGGTCTGGATGTGAATCAGTGCCAGTGGTTGTGGTTCACAGCGAATTTTTTCTTTCTTTTGTAGCGAAACTCTCGTTAGTATGAAAACTTTCTGATTATGAACCTTACCGAAAGGACTGGGAGTACTACCTCCTAATCGTACAAGAAACAGCAGCAGATGGTCAGCCTGCCTATGGGGGTGACAACTGCTATCTAATTTGACAGTGACAGACGTTCGGGATACACTTGGAGATAGAATTCATGTACAATGTTAGACAAGGCAATTTCGAAAGGTCATCCGGATAACCAAATGCTGATAATGTTCTCTTCTTTCTATCTTCTTAAAACGACCATCAGATATTGTCTGGATCATCTTCACACTTTGTCCGATACTTTTAATCCTCTGAATACTTCAGAATACTTCGATTCGAAGGAAATGAATGAAATGCTTCTCAACGCCTTTCTCAAAGATTAATACAGACGGCGCTTCAGTCTTTTGGTCACGAAGGTTGCAGAAAAATCTTTCTTCTGGACAGGTATTTCCTTAAATGCATAAACGGACTTTCAAATCCTAATACCAATGTCTCATTAGTCCACTGCTTTCAAGTGCGTGAAAATTCTTAGGTACTTAGAAGCAAACATTGGTTTTCATGGTGACATGTGGTTGATTGCTTAGTTCGTTGCCTACATTTTCCAACTTGAACCCTGCGAACTAGTTTATTGAAAACAAATGTCTGTTTCATGCTTTGCACAACGTATAAATTAATCTCTGAAATGTGCCCTATGACCTGGGAAAGGAACTGCATGATTGGTACTTCAAATGCTCTGCTTCCCTTGAGTGCCATAAACTCCAGAATGTTTCGAGCAATACTGATATTCCATTTTTTGGGATATGCAAGAGGTTCTTCAATGTTACTATATGCAGAAATGGTGCATTCTTACGAAATCAATTTACATTGATAAGTTGCGGACATAAATCATTTGAAATTTCTCAAACTAGGGCTAGATCTCAAACAACTGTTTTTGGCCTTTTATTGGGTATGTCAAACCAGAAGAATATTATATTACCTAACTGGTCAGCATTTCAATGTTCCGTCCTGAATTGTTCCACTTAGTGCATATCTGATTCCATGTTGGTAGAGAATATCAGTTTATTACAAAATTGCGAATATTCAGGCCCTGCATAGTAGGCCTAGTGGCAATTTCACGAAGTCTCTCATTGGAGCATACTCACTGATCATAGATTCTCAGATATCTACGTTGTTGCTCGCATTCGTTTTCAAGAAAATCTGACCATCACGGGAAGTAAGTAAACGTCTATTGAACGGCTGCTATAAAAGATTATTCCGTATCAGGTAGAACGAACCTAGAAATGGTAAAAGCCACAAAATTACAGAACTTATGCAGTCCTAGCGACCAAATGTAAGCATAGCAACTATGTTATGCCCATAATATAACAATGATGGGTACTCTTCTAACAGAAAGTAATAGGGAGTTCCATTTTTGCACTGAATTGAGGGAGCAACATGATTCATGCTGAACTGAAAGTCGCAGAGGCCTCCTATTATGAAGGAATAATCTGAAGTAGCATTTTAT